AATTAATAAAAAATATTATATGTATAATCCTGTAGAGTATTATTATTCCAACGATTACTACTTGTCATAAATCACAAATAGTAACTTTAATCGAGTCAATACTTCATACTCTCCTAAAAAGCTAATGATGAGTATATGCAGAAAAGATTGCAAGCCATTTATTAAACAAAAAACCCTTAACTTAGAGTCAAAAGAAATTCATCCTCACATTGTTAGACATAAATGTATTAAACAATCTTTCACTAAATTGGCAGAATCTATTCTTAATGTTAGTAATTGTTTAGATAACATTCCAAATACATCCACAAAAACTGATAAGTTTGTTTAAAAATTAAAGCCTAAAATAACTACTCCATCTCCAACTCCTCCAAAACCTCATAATCATGAAATACATAGAATTCCAGGTAGACTTCATAAAGGGGCTTTATTAAGAAATTTTGATAATTCAATAAATTAAATTGATAAATCCTATATTTTAGACTCTAAATAAGAGTTAGGAACTTTGTCAATGAGTCCAAAACCTAGAGTAATGGATTATCATCAAGAATAAATTAGACAAAAAAATTCGTAAATATCGAATACTATTAATATGACTAATCAATTTAAAGAATAATAACAATAACTTACAATTAGAAAATCTATCTTAAATAATGAAATTTCTAGTAATTCTCCTAAGCAAACAACTTCTAATTTAGTAGATTAAACAATTCAAGCTATGAAGATTGATTGTTTTTACACTAAAATAAGTCTTAATAATATTAATCACTTAGTTATGATATAATTTGAAAATGTTTTGGGATTTGATGAATCAAGTTATTTTGGTTTATAACCTGATTTCATTACTAGTAAGCAATATGATGAATATGTAGTTTTAAGAGATCATTATTTTTAAAAGGTTTCATAAACTCAATCATTTTATATACTTAAGAATTTTAAAGAATTATTTAATTCTATTTCTCGTGTTTATTAAGTGTGTTTATTTACAATTCAATATCCATAATTACTTAAAGAATTTCTATAAGAAAGAAAATTAAGAGTTAATTGTGGATTTTAAATTTTGAATTATAAAATTGATACATTTGTGGTTGATATTAGTTAGGTTTTTTCTGATCTTTAGATAGTAACACCAGAATTATTAATAATAATCTAACCCTTTTAAATATTAAACTAATAAGAATCACAAATTGTTAGTAGTTCCAAAATTCCTATTTATGAATACCATTGTTAAAGGTTTTTTCTACCATTTTCTGAAGAACTTCATCCTAATAATTGCAGATTATTAACATTACCTCTATTATCTATGGAATCTTTATTAAAATAAGATGAATAAAGCAAAGGATTTGTCTAAATTAGTTATTTTATTGAACAATTTACATTGGCTTTGTAAAGTGAAAGTTACTTTCAAAAGTTTCTTAATAAAAGCTAGAATAGAATAAAAATAATTGATTAATCAAAATATTTTAGATAATAAAAATAAAAATTATTACAACAGTTAGTTTTCATAGATAATTTAAAGATTCAAGAATAAAAATAAGATGAGTTTAAAATGAAAAAGAAAGAAATGATATAAAGAATTATCTAAAAATTTGATCATTCAAAATAAGTTGAATAATATACAAATGATTTGATGTTTAGAAATAAAGATATTTTTAAGAAAATGAGAAATTACAAATAAGAAAACGTAAACAAATTGCATAAATTATAATAAGACCTTTCTCAATAAATAATTAGATATAATTATTGTGAAATGTTTGTTGATACAACATACTACTTAGCTTATTGATTTATATATGCTTTTTATATATTGTAAATACTCATTCTTTCATTTCTTAAACAATCCATTTCTAATATCTGGTAAGAATTCTTGTAATGAAAGTTCTAATCTATCATCTAAAGTATTAGAACAAACAATTCTGTTATTAGCACAACTCAAAACAACTCCTCCCAAACTAAAATATATTTATATCTTAATTTTTTACATTGGTTTACCCTATTTCTCTGTTAGATACTGACTCTAATTAATGCTTAATGTCGTCTTAAAGTCTTTAGTTGTTTCTCTCTTAATAATTATAGAGAATTCTTCTTAACATTCTTACAAAATGGTCCTAATGAGTTGCACATCCTATTCTAAACATGTCAATTCAATTCTAGGTTCAAGTAATTTTATCATTCCTTATATTATCAAGTTCTTTAGTAATTCTTTATAGACACTCTAATCTTAGATCAATTTTGTCATCTTCTAACGAACTTCCTCTTTAAGTCTTTGGATTAACTCAAAACGTGCTTGCATTTTGGACAATCTTGATTGATTGATTTTAGATGATCGTTGACTAAATCTATTAAATATGTTTTACATTCTCTTTTCAATTGTGTATGACTCAATCTTCTTTTTGTATTCTTCAATAATTCTCTCCTTCTATTAATTGAGTAGTTTGTTCTTTTCAATTCTAAACTATTAAGCAGCCAGGTCCTTGATTTATTCAGCCTTTTCATTAGCCTAAACAAATAGATTAACATCAATATTACCTCAGCTTTTATGGCATTGACCATCTTCTTTACTCTCTCTTATGGATTAAAATCTGCCATGTTATTTAATTTATGAATAAAATACTTATCCATACATCCACTAAAGATGACTAGATTAAGTACTTTTAAGTAATTTTAGTTAAGCAATAATCAATTCAATAGAATTACACAATCAATGATTAACATAGAACTTAATTTAAATACATCTTCCAATATGTAGAATCTTTCAACACTATATATTCTAAATACTTAAAATTTGAGGAATCATATTAATAATTAAATTTATTTTAAGAGATTCTAATATCTTATAATTCAATATCAAATGATTTTGATTTATATCATTAAATTCTAGAATAAATATTTAATTTTATAGATTTATAAATAAAAACTATCCCATTTTCTAGACTAAATATTAAAAACCTTAAGATCTTCAATTAAATTTATGTAAAATTCTTTAATTTTAAACTATATATCATATATATTTCTATTTATTTAGAGAAATTATTCTATATAATTCTTAAAATAATGTAAAGTAGATTAATTTAATAATAATAAATAGAAATCATAGTCTTAATTTAATTATATTGAATATTATAAATAAATCTAAAATTTAAGAATTCTGTTATTGTTAAAATTTAGTAAAAGAGATAATATGAATAAAAGTTAGTTTAAAAAAGTGAAAATTTGATTTAATAATAATAGATATATAAAATTATGAAATATTGATTTGGAAATAATTAAAATAAAAAATAGTGTAAAACTATATAACAAAAAATAAATTCATAGTCGTAGATCAATTAGGGATATCAAACATGATTTTATGGCAAGATTTTTTGATCAAATTTGATAAATAAAGATTAGATGATTATATTATAAATTAAAATAATTTAATTAACAATTATCATAATAATTAAATGTAATTTTAGATTATTTTAATATATTAACTAAATCTATATAAATCTTCAAGAAGAATAAATAATGAGACATCTATTTTTATATAATTCTTTAAGGATAATCTGTTTTAAGAGCTGCAAAATATTAAAGCAGTATGATATAATACTTGGAAAAATATTAAATAAAATTCATATTTTGCAATTAAGGTGAACGAGTATCAATCAGCATAGATAGTTTTCTATGAAAGATTCATTTAGATTCTATTTTAAAAAACTTTCACTATCTTCGAAAGTATCTGATTCACTTTTAATCAAATTAACATAATTTAAAGACTCTTATAAAGATATGTTATCTTTCCATTATAAGATGAATTTATTCTTTTAATAGACTATTATAATATTTCTAAAAGCATACATGAAGATCGTTTGTTAATTAAACTTAGTATAATTTATTCTTAATCTGCAGCAGCTATCTACATCTGATTCAAAGTATCATAATGCTTTTAAATTTTAAGAGTGTTGCCTCTGGTCTTTTTGATCTTTTTAGATGGTTTCAGTTAAAAGAAGCACTCAGATTCATTGTCTTCAATCATTTATTATTTTAATGATTAATATCTCTAAGTATATCTAAAAGTATTTAAGTCTATATAATATAGGAATTTAAGAAAATAATGCATATTATTATAACAAATGATTATGAATAATTGATTTGATTGATTGATTAAGAATTAGCTAAGAGTAAGAAGATATCATAAGAAGAAATGATGAAATATTTATATATTTATGCAAATACTAACATATTCATATGATTGCAATCATTTGAAGAAATATAATTTATCCTAAAATAAATGATTTATAATACAAATTTAGCAAACAATTCTTTACTCTAACTTGAATGAGTAGTAGAATTGTAGATAAGATGCAAATAATATCCAATTTCTTCTTTGACTCTCTCTTGCCATAATGGATACTCTTTTAATTGATCTAAAAGATTAATATATTTATTAATGGCTTCCTCTAAATGATGTTCATAAGTTAAATTTGTATGTTCACTTCTGAACCAAGTATTATGAGTTGCTATTTCTTTTGTTAATTCTAAATAGAGTGATCTATATTCCCAAGTTGCTCTATGTAAATCCAAAATAAAAGAGTATAAGTTTTCAAATTGAACAAACTTTTGTCTTGCTAATTCATATTATTCTTTCTCACTTTATTCATATTGAATAAATAAATAATTACAATGATTCAAGTCTTGGTGTCCAATTTCTAGCAATGTGAGAATAGAATCTGCATTCATAATAACTCATTGGATCTCTTTCTAAGAATCCTTCTTCAGGGTCTTAGAACCCTGCCTTACACATTTCAGTCATTATTCTATCCACTTATACTAAAAATCAATAGAGAAATGATTTACATGAGTAATTGATGACTCTACTCTTAATGAAATATGAAGCAAATCTTGTTACGATGGACATCCTTTATTATAATTAATAATAAATTAATATATTTAAAAGAGAAGAAAACTCTATGTTTCAAAATTATTTCTGATATTGTTTTAATAATTTAAGGATATATTTATAAATGGGTTCAGTCTGCTCTGCATAAAAGAATCAATCAAAATAGCGCTCTTAAAATGAAGAATTAAAAATCAACAATTAACCATATTTAGAAGCTTCCTCCCTTGTAGGTTAATCATTACCTATGGAAAATAAATAAGATGCTGCTCTTGATTAATATGTCTAAGATTTATTATAGCTATTTAAAAGGTTCTGTATGTTTCTTGATCTGGTGGGTAATTTAGATCAACTTCCACAACATACTAGAGAAAAAATAAATAATTGCATCATAGTTAAATAAAATATTTCTATTATCATCCAAAACAATATCAAAAGAGTCATGAGAGAATAATAAATCATAAAACGAATAGATGAATCAGATTATTATCTTATATATAATGATCGTAAATTTGCAAGTGCTTTCAACTAAATGATGTAAAAACTATCCAATATCATTATAACCGATCTTAAGCCAGATGAAGATTTTTAGTCAGCTTTCCCAATTTTAGCAGTGTCTTTTGAAGAAGAAGCTTAAAAAATTATTTCAATTGTGGAGAAAATCAAAAATATTTAAATAATTGCAATGAGAAAAGGAAGTTCTTAACATTCGCTTTCCATTAATCAACTATAATCAAAAAGAAAATCTTCCTAACAATGAAATAAAGTTATTTATTTCATCATTCAAACTTTTATTGATATTATTAATTGCACTCTTTTGTTTTTATTAAATTGATTGATTATTAAAATTTGTTGACTGTCTCAAATTTCAATTAAAAATTCTTCTTGTATTTATAAATATATAAATATATAAAGATATTTATAATTAAATCATTACATAAATATGATAATTAAGTATCTTTCAATTCTTATTTTATTTTAGAAAATATTGGAAATTTTTATTTATAATTGTATATATATATATATATTTATTAAATTAACTGTTAATGGATTAGATTGATAATTTTAGTATGGGGAGCATTAATGAGAAAGAAATAGAAAATAATTTGAAAGACTTATTGGAAAGAGTTTTACTAAATATAGAGAAATTTATTGAAACTAAAGAGGAATTGAATTAAGTTGAAGCTGAATTAAAAGACTATGAAAGTTTGTCTCATTTGATTGGTATTATTAAGGCAGTATTTACAAATTTAATGATGAAAGTAGAAAAGAAAATATCGTAAGTAGTTAATTAAAATATTAACAAAGCAAATTAGAAAAATAAATTGATCCAAACCATTCTATGACTAAAAGTTTAAGATCTGATGAAGAATATGAAAAATTAGAATAAACTTTAATCAAATATGAAAGTGAAATTAGAAATCATATTAGAGTATTTTATTAATTATATTTTAGATTGAATAATAACTTAAATTATATGCTGAATCTATTTAAAATAAATTAGATGAAAGTGAATCAAGTAGAGCTGAACTTCTAGAAACTACTAAAAAGTTAATTAGTGTATTTAATCATTATAAATTATAGAATTTAAAAAGAGAAAATTAAACATATCATGAAAATTAGTAGAAATTAAATATAGAGATTGCTAGTTTAAAATAAATAATTAATAATTTAGAAAAAGAAAATAGGAGAAAATCTTTAGACTTGAGTTAAAGAGATTATTTAAAAACATAATCTAAGAAAAATCAATAACCAATTATACAATAATTATAATTGTAAAGTAGATTATTTTTAATATTATTAAGATCAAAGAAATTAAAAATCTTATTCTGAACATAAATTAAATTCATAAATTAATCATACTTCTAATACTATTGAAACCACTGAAATACCAATCAAATCATAATAATCATTAAAATAAAATTATTACAACATTATTAATTATGGACATTAAGCTAATAAAGTAGATGTTTTAAAAGTTATTTAACAAAAAGATTTAAATAAAATTTATGGTTAAAAATTAAAAAGCAAAAATAATTCACTCTCTACTATTCAAGATCTAATCCAAAGTGTTTCAGTACAAGATAGAAAAAAAGGAATTATTAGCTAACCTGTTTCAAAAAATAGCTCTTAAAATAATAGTTAAATCTAAAAATATAAAGGTATAATATATTTAATAAATATAGAAACATGTGATTAAAGTAGAAGTAAAAGTTCTAGAAGAGCAAATATAGGAACTAAACAAATTTAAATAGAATCTCAGATAAAATTAACTAGCTGAATATACTATATATTTAGACCATTCATTCAAACCTTTCATTATAAAAATAATATAAAATCATTTCTTTAATTTATTAATGGATTACCTCCAAAAATTAGCACTTTCTTAAATATCTGATATCAATTTCCATTTAGTTAAAGTAGTTCTTAAAGGATTCACTATTGTTTGTCTCTAATTTTCTTAAGAATTAGACTTTCTCTTTTTCGCCTTATTATTTTTCCTATTAGCCATTCTTAGATTTATTGCAATATTTTAATCATTTAATTATTTCTTAATTGCTTCATCATATTCCTTTGAAATTTGATCATACTATTACAAAAGTGTATTAACATCAACCTTCTAATCTTGTTATCTTTCTTAAACCTCCATACATATTTCTCTTTCTTTTGCTTAATGTTTTTTAAAAACACTAAATCTCATATTAGTGTTTGAATCTAAATTTTACTAAAGAAAAGGTCGATTAAATCTTGTTTCCTCTTCCAATTTTAACTGATCCAAATTTTATCCAACAACCATTGAAGTAAATCTATTTTAAATAGCATTTGATCCTTCATTATCTTCCATCATTAATTTGATTGTTTCTGGTCTGCTTAAGAGAAATTAAATTTTTTCTAAGAAATAATCTTTTAAACTCTATTAATTTGAGTCAAATTACTCAACAAGATAACAATAGATTTCTAAAGTCTTTGTAACATGTTCAAGACAATAAGTTCTTTCATGAAAAATAGCTTCTAATTATAAAAGTAGAGCCAATTATGATCCATCTATTTATTCCTTTTAAACTTTATTCTTTTTATCTAATTTTTCTTGTTATTATTATTGTTTTGGAGATGATAAAGCATTTTACATAGCTTAAACAAATAACATAATAATAATAATAAAATTCTTAATAATTATAATTATTTAGGTTTGATAAATATATGATTTTTAGATAATCTATATTAAATTTAGATTATAAAATAAAGATAAATAATATTATGTTTTAGTTTTGCTTAGACCTTTAGATTATATATTGTTAATTTTATTAATATTAGATTAAATAAATAATAAGAATAATAAACTTATTATTATAAAAATCCATAAATAATTGATTTTGTCGCTTTTATTTAAATTACTCATCTTATAAGCATATATTAATTATGATATCTTTTAGAGTATTTATTGTTAGTTTTATTATTCTTTTTAATTATTAAAGTATTATTCCATAATTTTGAAGTCTTTAAAACATATCCTAATATTTTTAATGTCAGTTGTTTTAAATTTACTTTGTATATTATAATGAATAATATTTCGAAAGACTATAAACATATCACTATTAATGTATTAAAATCTAATAATCCAGTACCAATAAAATTGTTGATAATTATTTCATAATTTTTAATAAACTTAATATATAATATAACTTTTTTCAAGAAAATTTATAAATATTCTCCATAATCAAGATTATGAAATAATTTTATATAATCATATTGTTGATTAATTCATTTTTTAAATTATATAATGATATTCTACATTCTACAGACTATTTTTTATTAGAAAATCAAAAATTTTAATTAGAGCTTAGGGTATTGACGTAGTTTTCTAAAGTTATTTTGCGATTGAAAATTAATTTAATAATGATTAAGAAAATAAATTAATTGATTAAATATTAAAGTTCGATTGCTTTCAGTATAATATTGTTTGATTAATTTTATTTGAAAAATTTAGATGAACAAGAAGCATATTCAACTAAAAAAAATAACTACTAATCTTAATAATGATAGTAGTAAATAAGATTATAAGAGATTATCATCTGATATTGAATAGATGCTATCATCTCCTGAGATCAAGAAGTTTGAAGCCTTTTTAATAGAATCGATGACTTTTAAACAAAGACTTTCTGAAAAATTTTAATAATTTACACCATTAACTTAAAAATAACCTTAATTATAATATGAGGATGAAGTTAAATGGAATCGCTCAGAAGGAATGTGACCATATAATTATTAATTTTTCCTAATCATTATATATTTTTAAGTATTTATATTTTTGTAAATTTACATAATATTAAATGGCATTATAATAATCATAAAGGTATGATGCTGATGAAAATTTATCTAAATTTCTTAATAAAGAATTAGGTAAATCAATAAAGTTCTAAAAAAAACATGTAATAATTTGATTTTATAGAATAGGAGAAAGAACTCAATAATTTGTTAGCTTACCAATAAATACTTTAAGATGAGAAATTAAAGAATGAAAATAAATTACATTAAATGTTTTACAAAGAGAAATTGATTGATCATTAAAAAAAATAAAAGGAAGATTTTGTAATATTATCATCTTATTTTAGTTAAAAGAGCAAAAAGTTAATAAAGATCATTAATATTTATATAAATAAAAAGAAAATGAATATATCAATGCTTTAGATGCAAGTTGGTGCTTTTATTAAGATTATTCTCCATCTAAAGATATGAAACCATTAAAAGTAGATGCTGAAAGAGAGAAGGTTCTTGGATTTTTATACAAATAACTTTAAACAACTAATGATAATGTTGAAAAAGCACTTATAAAAAAGAAGATCAATAAATTTAGAGATTCAGAAGTATCATTCATGTCATAATTTTAAATAGATATCAAAAAAGAAATTAGATTAAATAGATCATAAAATAGAATATGCAAAATAAGTAAGAAGTGAATCACTTGATAGATCTATTGATAAAATTAGAATACATGATATACATATTATTGATGTATAAGAAAAAAGTAATATCTTAAATTAAGAGAAACAATCTTATTATATTGATAAAATAAATTAAATTGAATAAAAGATATAAAAGATAGAAAAATAATAATAGAGAAATAAATTAAATAGATTAAATATTGAATAATAAAAAGATGAGTATCGCTAAGCAGTAAGATCTAATTCTTAAACTTTAATGCATTAAAAGGAATTATTGAATTAGAATCATTTTAGTGAGAAAATATATAAATTGAACTTTTTAGTGGATTAGAAATAAAAATTATTAAAATAAAGATAATACTTATTAGATTCATTGAATTAAAAAAGAGTTATTGCTCGAAAATCTTTGGATGATGTTAAATATCCTCAGTTAAACTCGAATAATTACAAAGCAATATATTTTTGAATTTACATATCTCAAGTAAATCAAAATTATATATCATATATATATAAATTATAATTTTATAATTACATTATATTTATACATAATTGATAAGAGAATAAATTAATAATAATTATTCTTATATCTATATTATGAATTATAAGAATGTAGATTCAATTAAAGTAATAATATATTCAAATGAATAAATTTAATTTTTTTATTAATATGTTAATTATTATTTAAATTATTATTAAAAAATAATGAGAAAAAATTATATTAGATTACAATCCGATTCAGAGTTTAAATAAGAAGAAACCAAAACTTTTGATGAAGTTAAATACACTATCTTTAAGACTTATTTTGCCTTATTAGAATCAAAAACATTATCATAAAGTAAGGGTATACTAATGATATTGATTTTGAATTTACAATTAATATTCATGACTGCTAATGATAAGAATACTGATTTATAAAGTGGATTTATTTCAAGTATTTAAAATTAATTAATTAGGTTTTTTACCAATCAGTAATTATTTTTTACTTTATCCTGTATTATTATCATCAGATTCAATTTTATTTAATATGCTATTTTTGGTAATTGCTCTTTTAGTTTTAATATTTTTAATAACATCAATTCTTTATTTTGCATCTACAAGTAATTATGATAATCCATTGGTAAAATAATTAAGATCAACTTGGGGATTCATTTCAGAATTGACTGATAAAATTTTAGTTGTTCCAGTATTTGGTTTGACAGTTGGTAATATAGCTTGTAATTTTGAAAATAATTAAACAGAATGTTATAGTGGTGTACATATAGGATTAATAATTATGTCTATTTTATGTTCATTAATGTTACTTTTATTAGAAATATTGTATTCATATTTATTCTTTAATTTTACTTTCAAAATTAAGGATTCTGTATCTAGAAATCCATGTATATTAAATATTCATAATAATAGCTGGGATGCCAATATTTTTTTTTATTTATAGACTTGGAATCACTATATTTTAATCATTATTCGATTTAGAAGTCTAATAAACATATACAATATTAGTATTATTACATTTGATATTTGGACTAATTTTACTTTATGATTCATTAAATAATTTTCCATATCATAATAAAAATGTATCTAAAACATAAGGTATCTTTGCTTCTGCATATTTGTGGATCAATGCTACTTTTATAGTTTTACAACTTACTTCAATTGAAATGCTTCATGAAAATGTATTAGTAATAGTCGGTTTAGGAATGGCTTTTTTTTTAAAATTATTTCTTAATATTAGAAATTATTTTGTAAAAGTGTTAATGAATAGTGAATTAGATGAAATATAGAGTGCTGTGTTATTAGATCTAAAAATTAGAAATTATAATATATTATCTAAATCTGACAATGAAGAAAAGAAAAATGAATTACTTTTAGCATCTTTATTAAAAATACATTCTGATAAATGTAAAAATAGTACTTGTCCATGTAAAAAAAGAAGCACACTTATTGATCCTAAAAAGAAAATAATTTAAAGTGAAATGAAAGCTGCTTCAATAACAGATACAAAAATGTTAAAATAGTAAAAGAATGATTAAAATACTTAATTACATAAAGATTTAGTATTTGTCAAACATTTTATTGCTAGAATGGCTAAAGATGGATTAAATAAATTTAAGGATTCAAAATTATTATATCTTGATTATATGTATTATAGATTTGAAGCACTTAGAATGTATTCTTCAATATATTTTGAAATTGGTAAATTTGAATCTAAATATCATAATGATATGAGTTTATCAATTGAATTTTGTTTATATAGATTAAGAGCAAGAATGAAGAAGCATTTAATGAATAGAAATTAAAAAAGTGAAATATCACGTAGATTATAATTAGAAAATGTAAAAGCTTTTGATGAAGGTATTATAAGATAAAAGGAAACTATTATGGAAGCAAATAAACATTTAAATGATCTTTGGGAATCATTATGTGAAGAAAAACCAGATTTGAGTAAATTATTAGATATTGGTAATAATGCTATTAGAACTATGTAATTAACAAATGATTAGTATGAGTTTTTACTACAACTTAATAATTAATCTTAAGATCTAAAGAATTTAATGACTATTTATTCTAATTATTTAGCATATGATGATTTATTAGCTAAGAAGATTGAAAAAGATATTGATTAAGCTAAAGATATGGAAAATGATAATTCATTTTAATAGGATTTTAATATTTTGATTAAAAAATATTAGATATTTGATAAATAAAGTTGTGTGTTATCAATATCTTCTTAATTAGAATCATTAGGATAAATTACATGGTGTAGTAGAAATGTATTTAATGTATTTGGTTATGATGAAACTGATCTTAAATCTATGAATATTAATTAAATGATGCCTGAACCATTAGGTAATTGTCATAGTAAAATTCTTAAAAATTATTATGAAAATGCAAGAGAATTATTGACTACTAAGATGACTCATATATGGGCTATTGATAGAGCTAAAATTTTATTTTCAGCCAATATTTTTATTAAGATTTTACCATCTTTATAATCATATGATATAGTAGGTTTTATACATAAACTCAATTAAGATGATTATATTATTGCAGATGTAGATGGAATGATTTATGGAGCTGGAAGAAAAGTATGTTAAGCTTTAGGATTACCACCTGAAAAGATTTTAGAAACTAAGGTTAATATTTAATTGATTGCTCCTGGATTTTATTCAGTATTTTCTGATTACTTTTTAGATTTTGATATTACAGCAAATAAATAAAATGATGGCAAAGGTAAATTATCATATGATGAATATAATTCAGCAAATAAATAATTAGAAACTAAGGATATGAAATAAGTTATATTTATTCAAAAAGAATTTGAAAAAAGAATATAAAGTTTTGTTGAATATAGAACTAGACTATTTAAAAAGTTTAATATAGATCTTTTAACAAAGGAATAATTATCATAAGAATTTGGATAATCAGGAAATGATTAGAAGAATATTAAACTCATTAAATAATGTGCTGAATTTAAAAAGGAATATGCTGCATTATTTTATAAATAGAATAAAAAAATACTAATTGATTCTTTAATTAAAATGATTAAAATTAAAGTTTAAATTAAAAACTTTACATATTGGAATGGTAGTAAATTATAAAGATTAAAAATTATCAAAGTTAATACATATGAATTTAAAACTACTGAATATATTAAAATTAATAGAAAGAAAATTAAAGAATAAGGAGAAAAAGTATCTTAAGTTTATAAGAATTTTCAAGATGCATATAACACTTTCAAATAAAAGAAAATGAAATAAAAAATGTAAGAGGAATAGGATAATGCTGAAGAAATTGAAGCAGGAAGAGCTGATGGAGGAGAAGACAATTAAGAAGGTTAATAAGCAAAAGGGTTTTTAAATATGTTTAAAAAAGCTAATAAAAATAATAGATCTTCTTTATTATAATTAAATGTTAAAAGATTAGGTGGTAAAGGAAAATAAGTAGAAGATTAAGAATAATTGAAATAAGGTATATTAATGACTCTCTTCAAACCAGTTTCAAAGAAAAATAAGTTTAAGAGAGTATCAAAATAATAAGGTAGTATGGCATAAGTTTAATATGAATCAAAATAATTTAAAGATGAAGATGATGAAGAGAATGAAAAAAAGAAAATAGAAGCAACCCCAGAATAATTAGAAGCTATGAGAGCTTGTCCAGCTGTAAATCTACTTTAAATTGCTCTTATCAAAGCTAATATCTTAGGTTAAACAGATATGAGTGCATTTTTAGAAAAGAAAAAAAAATTATAACCAGTTGATCCTTTAGCTATTAAATTTAGAAGAATAAGAGAATTTGTAGCTACTGAAAAATTTAAGACATTTGTATAAGAAGAAAAGAAAAGAGCTGAAATGAGTAACGATACTCATTCCACTAATACTGATTAATATGATTAAGAAGATAGATCATAATCATTTGATGAAGATTAATAAGAGGAAAGAGGATTATTATAGAATATACTAAATAATCAAGGAGCTAATGAAGAAGAGAAAGCAGCTATGTAATCTGTTAGTAGTTCAAGTAATTATTATTTATATATTAGCTTAATCATTATAAGCTCATAATGCATAAAGAATGTTGAGAGAATAATTAAAGAATATGTAAGCACCTACAATTTTAATAGTTGCTCATTATACTATGGTAGTATTAAGTTTGTTATTATTTTCTTTAATAATTTCATAATATATATTAGCAAATAATGATTTTAATGGTATTAAAGATGAATTATATATGTTTGAAAGAATGAGTAATTATTCTGATAATTTAATTGAAATTTTGGATGGTTATTTTACACTTTAAATGATAAATGAAGGACCTTTAAAAAATACATCTGTTTATGGACCTGAATGGGTTGGATAATTTAGAAAAATGATATTATAAAATTAAATTGACACTGTCTAATTCTTTTTAGAAGATTATAGTAATGCTGGTACTTAATCTAAAAGTGGTAATGATTTAAGATAATATCTTTTTATTTAAATGAATGCTAATATGCTTGTAAACAATTAACCAACAGAATTTTTATTTAATTATGAAAATTATGTTAGATTAATTTTGAATGCTGCTAATGCTACCAAAGATTTAAATTTATCATCTTTTACATTAAATAGTAGATAAGATTATTTCTATTTTATTTATAATAATTTAAATGAATTTGATAATATAACAGATTATAATTATAATTTAATCACTAAAATGTTGATAAGAAGTAAGGATATGTTGATAGAAAGATTTTATTATTTTTGGTTTAGTTGCTTTGGTATATTGCTATTATTATATATTCTTATTTATCCAATTATTCTCAAAACTAAATTAAAAATCTAAGAAACTTTGAGAATTTTTACTAAAATATCTTTAGCAGATGTTGAATATTATTCTAATCATTATAAAATGATATTTTATAATATGAGATAAATTACAGATACACCTTAAGTTTTAAAGAAAATAGAAGAAGAAGTAACTAAAGGAACAGAAGAAAAAAAGAAAAAAGATAAAGAAAATAATGCTAAAAATTTAGCAAGATCAAGAAGTCATAAAGGAATTTAAATAAATAAAATAGTATTTTTTGCAGTAATGACATTTTGGTTAATAATCTTTTCAGGTTTAATTTTTGTTAAAGATTATTTTATTATTTTATTTAGTAGTGAATTAGAAGAATTATTCTCTTCTTAAGAATAATAACATAGATTAAAATATAATTCTGAAAGAGACTTTGTTTATTTTAAGAATCTCTATTACCAATAATATATTTCTTAATTAAATACAACATAATTAAATGAAGTCTTAACAGAAATAGATAATGAAAATATATATGGCATATTCTAAACTATGTATCATTAATTAGAAGAATATTCTACTGAATTTGCTGATCTAGTCGATTTTTATAGTACAAATAATACTTGTGAATCTATTACTCCCTTAATAAATGGATTTACTAATGCAAGTCAAGCATTATGTGAATCTATTCTAGATGGTATATTAACTGAAGGTTTATTGAATTTCTATTAAAAATTATAATTGGAAATGTAAAATGGATTGAATTAATTACTAACCTAAAATAAAAATTACACTGAACTAAATAGTTATATATCTTAATAAATGTTTTAAGATTTTTAATTAGGATTATTGTATGCTAAATGGGCTAATCAATTAATGTCTAATTTAGCAAGAAGTGCACTCTATACTGGAATTGATAATGTAAAAATTCAATTAATATCATATTAGGAAGTAATATTCAACTCTTATTTTGTTATTGTAATCAACATTTTGATTGTATTATTCTTGTTCGTTATTTGGGGAAGTGAATATTCTAATTTAAAAAGAAATTCAAGATGGGTTAATGGATTTATATTATTGATTCCATCTTAATTAAGATCAGAGAATAAACATATCAATAGTTTCTTAAAAAATTAATTGAAAATTCAAGGATTAATGTATTTGTGAAAGTATAAAGTATAAATTTATTCTATTTAAATATAATATATATTTTGTAGACAACCAAACATAATATAAATAGTAATACAATCTAATTATCAAGGCTTTAATCATAGAGCACTAGTATTATCTAAAGCTTTGACCTTTTTTCCATCCTTCCAAATTCCTTCTTTTATTGTTCCATCAGGGAATATATATTTACCCTTGCCATGTTATTTTCCATCTTGCCATTATCCTTCATATTTCTTTCCATCTGCCCATGTATATGTACCATAACCCTCCTTACGATCTTATTTATATTCTCCTTCATATTTTCTACCATCCTTCCAAGTATAGATTCCTTTCCCATGCATACAATTATTTAACCATTAACCAGTATATCCCCTTCCATCAGCCCAAAAATAAGTACCGAATCCTGTAATCTTATTATCATGCCAATCCCCTTCATAAAATGATCCATCTGGCCATTCATATTTTCCTTTTCCTTACTTCTTACCTTCAAAATACACTCCAGTATACTATGAACCATCAAACCAAGTTTCTACACCATGACCATGTTATAAATCATTTTTCCATTCTCCTTCATACTTAGACCCATTTGCATGTGTATAAACACCATATCCATTAGCCTTATCATTTTCCCAATAACCATCGAAAGTATCTCCATCAATATGATAAAACTTTCCTTTACCATTTGCATGGCTTAACTTCCATTCTCCAACATATTTTGCACCATCAGCCCAAGTTTATGTTCCTATACCTTCTCTCTATGTACCTCTCCATTATCCTTCATATACTGCTCCACTTTTAAATTTGTAAGCAGGACGTGATTCCAATTCAACAGATGAAGAATTTTTTGGGAGTGTAATTGGTTCAAGTAATTCTCCTAAATAATTTTTCTTAGTATCTCTTTTTACAGAATTTTTTAATGTTTTCTTCTTTCTAACTAAATATCCTCTCCAATTTTTTTGAATCTTTATTGCTGCCTTATTTTGTTTTTATACTTTATTTTAGAGTTCTTCTGTTTCAGTCTCCTTTTTAGCTTCTTTTTATTAAGTTTTAGCATAAGTTTGTTTAATACTTTATTTAGAACTTGACTTTTTACTTTTCAAACTGTTTGGATCGGATTTTGCAATCTAAAATTAAAAGGAGTCATACTATAATTTCAGTTGCTACTTATTCCTTTAATTATTATTGGCATTAACACTAAGAAGCGCATTAATTTCCCATGAAATATATAAATTGATAATTTAATATATATATATAATGTGATTAGATTATTTATTTATCATGATAAGTAAACTTTCTTTATTTTAGTAATCTTTTCTTTATCAATTGGACACTGATCTATATACTTTGAACAATATTCACAAACACAAATATGTCCACAAGGTTTCATAATCATATTGTATTCTTTTTGCATACAAATCACACAAATTTTTTGAATTAGAGAGTCTTTGTATAATGAAATTTATTTAAGTGTATTAAATAGTTGATTTTCTATCTTTTTGATATCCTCAAAGTTTTACTGTTTAAGAGTTTCTAAATCTCCTTAATAAATTTTTAATTGCAACTTCATCATTTCATTATCCAAATGTAACTAACTTACTTTATTTTATTCCAATTATAATTGATATTGCAATAGTATGCAATTTTATTAATGCTATAAAAGTGCTTATTGTCTACTTTTTCTTTAATCTTACAATTATGTCGGTTTTTAATTTATGTATTCTTTAAATAGTCGAATCACTCTAAACAATTATTTATGAGATAAGGATAGTTGATCCTACACCGAATTTCCAATTATGTCTAAACATTGAGAATAAACAAGATGCTAAATATCTTCATTGGTTTAGCACCTTAAAATCTCTTAAAACAATATATCATCTTCATTTTCAAACATGGATGTGGAGACTATTTAAAATTATACTCTGAAAAACTAAATTATTTTATGACTATTTTAATTAAGTCTTAAAATTCATAGAAGTAATAAAGTATGTTTTGTGATAAATAAATATTTTTCATATATAATTAATTAAGAAATATAAATTCACAAGAAATTCTTTGTTACAAATGATCATTTGAAAAGAGTTAAAAAGAAATATATAATAGATAATTTTATTGAGATTTGTTCTTTTTAATATATGTAAGTTTCTCTAATTATAAAATCCATATATGAATACTCCTCAAATAAATTGGAAGTTTTCGTTTTTAATGCTAATCCTAAGAAAAATATAAAAAAAAGTATCTGCTATAGGGTGTACTCCAATTTAAAGAAGCAAAGTATACTTTTAAAAATATGAAGTATAAAATAATGACAAGGCTTGTTGATTATTCTGAATTTATTAATTGTTTTATAAAATAAATTAAAATTATTCTAATATGACATAGGAACAATGTGATTCTGTATTCAAGTTTATTATCATTGGCAATAGGAATTGTGGAAAATCAAGCCTTCTATATCACTATATTCATGGAGTATGTAATTTATGAGACCAAATTAGAAATTTTTAATATAAAATAGACACTGAGTACTTGAGTTTTCAGCTAAAATAGTTTAATTGAATAAAAAAATTAAGATGTAATCATGTGATACAGCAGGTTAAGAGAGATATAGATTTAAATAAAGGTTATTATTGAGGAGCATTAGGAGCCTTAATAGTTTTTGACATTACTAAGTTATATAATAACAGTAATTTAGCTCAGAATCTTTTGAAGCTTTGTAAGAATGGATAAAGCATGTAAGAGACTTCTCAAACCTTCCATTCAGATTATTGTTTTTGGAAAGAAAGCAGATTTAGATAAGGGGAGGTAATTGCAATTTTAAATAAAGAACAATATCAGAGTAAACTGCAAAATTATTTTGTTAAGAAAATGATGTATAATACATTAAGACTAGTGCAGCTACTGAGTATTAGGTTAATGATGCTTTTAAATAAATAAAAACTAGATTTCTGAATTTACTCTAAAAAGGATCAATTGATGGTAATATTATAAAACCTAAATTTTTAACCTCTAAAAAGAGTGATTTAACATAGTAATGTAATTGCTGAAAACTTTTTTGTTATAAATACCTAAAATTTGTCTATAGTCTATATTATTTTTATGTAAAGTTGATGTTTCTAAAAATCGATAATCAAATATATGTAATTATATTTTAATATTTCAATAAATAATAGATAAGATGGGCTGTCTCTTCTTACATATAATTATATATATATATATAATATATCATAACTGATATCCTACTCAGAGGTTTTCAACGTTACCACCTTCATCTTCAAGTTCTGAGGTCCATAATGTCAAATTATCTCTGATGAGTTACATGATGGTTGTGGCATCCTTGTATTGGTCTTCTTAGATTTATTCAATATCGGCAATGGCATCATCGAAAGCCTAAAGATGATTAATTAAAACTATTACTGATTTAGCTAATTAGCAAGCCTTGGCGGCATCATTCAAAACTTCATAATAGAAAACTGAGAAATTCAAAGCAAGTCCTAATCTAATTGGGTTTGTTGTCTTTAATTCAGAGTTAGCAACTTAAGAAGCAGCTTAATATGCAGCAAGTGCCCCATCAGCAGCCTTTTTGTGTTAATCACCTGTGGCATATTCAGAAATGTATCTGTGATAATCTCCTTTCATCTTGTGGAAGAACACCTTGGCTTCTGGGGTAGAGGCTGTTTTGATTAAATGGCTATCGATCAAATTAAGGATATCATTGCAATATTGATTGAGCTCTTCTTCAATCTTCTTCTTGTAGCTTCTGATCAAAACAAGATTCTTTTAGGAAGCTGGTTAAGATTAAGCCTATGAAAATAATTAATTTATATACCTTTCCTTCTTCTTTGTTTTCAATACTTGATAAAACTCTCCAAGCTGTTCTTCTTCCACCAATACTGTTTTTATAAGCAACAGAGAGAAGGTTTCTTTCTTCAATTGACAATTCTTATCCATTCTCAACAACTTATTTGATGTAATTGACCATATCTTCAAATCTCTCGGTTTATTCTGTCAACTTTGTCATGTAGATAAGTTCCTCTCTAGTGCTCATTTTGGATATTTAAAATTTAAATTTTTTAATTATTTCCAGAAAATTAGAAGTCCCTTAAATATCATAATTCGCACTAAATCCAAAATTATTTAAATATATAATATATATAGTAATATTGTATTTCTATATCTAACAATCTAATGTTTCATCTAATATTATTCATGCCAATAGAATCAACATCTATCTGTCATATCCTGATGTATACTATATTCAATATCTTAATTATATGTACATAAATACTACAAAATTAAAAAAAGATATTTTTTCTAATAATAAGACTATAAAAATAGAAAATGATTAGATACTCTTTCCTAAATTCTAAAAATCAAATATTATGATATATAGAATTTAATATATAGAATTTTATGAATATTTTAGAGAAAATATAGAAATGTATCATTTAATATATACTTATATACTTGTTTTTATTGAAAATATAATAATAGGTCTCTCATTATAATATATTACACATAAACAGAATGATGTAAGATATAAAACTGGTTTATTAGATAAATAAAATTATAAAAATGGAATAATTTAATGGAAAACCTTAAGTATAATATAAATCTAATAATAAAGGAAAATATTCTAATCACATAACCATTAACTAAATAGAAGTACTCAGCTTTATTTCATGATGAGAGATTTGGAAAGGATTTTGAAACAAATTACTCAAAACTTTAGGAAATTATGGATGTAAATTTATTTAAAGACAATTTTAGAACTTGTAAGGGAAAGTTGAATAAATTGTAAAAAGTTAAGAAGATGATTTTATGAAAGCATATAAAGATCAAATGAATGAATTGCAAATTGATTTGAAGGCAATGAAAAGAAAAATTGATGAAGAGTCATTAAAATAAAAAGCTGATGAGAAAAAACGAATTTTAGAAGAAGAAAGAGATTATATAGACAAGAAGCTCTAAGACTGGATAATTTGAATAAAGAATAATTGAGAACAGTTGAAGAATTAAAATTCAAGTTAAAAATTACAATAGAAGAAAAAAATTATTATGAAGGTTTTGTTATAGGTACAGCCATTATTTTGATGTATAAGATTCAAAGAAAGAAAACAAAGCTTTAAAATTTGAACTATTATAATTATATAAATAAAAAATGGAAGATGAAAAAGCATTAAATAAAATACAATAAAAATCATAAACATAGTAAATTACTAAATTAAATTCAAAAAAACAGTCAGATAATAGACCATAAACATAAGAAGGAATAAGATCAGAAGGTAATTTATTCATAAAAGATGATTTAAATGCTGAATTTCTTTGAAGAGAATAATCCTCAAAGGCAGGATTTAGATCATATCTATCAACTAAAAACAATGATTAAGCATCAACACAATTTGATTTTTTTAAATGAGAGATATCTACTTAATAATATAGTAGATTTCATCCTGAAAATTAAATGGTATTCTTTTTTCTTTAATTTTAGATAGAAGAAAGAAATAATTAAATAGCAGAACTAAAATAATTGTTATAAAAAGAAAAAAACTTATGTCAATAATTAAAATGTGAATTTTAAAAATAGAATACTTAAAGAGGAGAATTAGAAGTAGTATTATTAGATTGTGTAAATTATATTAAGAAAGATATTGCATCTCGATAAATTGTTTAAAAATAACCATTTTTGGGTAATACTAATAAAACACAAAAAATTGCTTAGTAGATTGCCTTTGAAGATATTGACTATCGATAATTTACTCATTAAGATAAAAAGTAATAATTTCAACCTTATTTACTAAAGAGCACTCCTAAAAAAATTCTTGAGTTCTGAATAATTTTTAGATTAAATATATCAACTTACTTTTAATAGTCAAATGGCCAGTACATCACAATTGAAACTCAATGAGAAATGGAAATAAGATGCAAATGATGCAACAAAGAAATTCAATAATTTTAAAATATACAAATTTAGAAATATTACTAGTTAACGTATTTATTTAATTAGAATTTTTAGCTATTATAAAATAAGTGATATCTAAATAAGAATCAAATATTTTAAATGATCTCCACGATCAAGTAGATTAAGATTAAGAACTAGTAGATCAAATTGTATAAAATTGATTCTTTTTATCAATGATTTTAATATTTTCAAATAAAAAACTGATTGATTATTAAATTAGTTCTTAATCATATAATGCTTAACTTATTTGATTAAATTCAATTACAAATTATATATTTTATTAATTATATGAATCTATTAGAGAATTTTAATCTAATTTGATAATATTTAATATTTATATTTCGAGAATTATAAGGATGCAATTCGTTAATTATATTAATAATAATAAGAAATGAATGATTCTTCATGTTCGTGGGATACATGTTGTGATAGAGGTCTATTGAATTAAGGGGATTGTATGTGTGATTATGGATTTTTTGGTGATCATTGCGACTAATAAATATCTAAAATATTCACTCCTTAATACTATATTTTCATTGGATTATATTGTTTGGTGTTTTTATACACATTAATAAATGCAAGTTATTAACTCTATAATAAAATATTTGATAAAAACCTCACCATATAAGAAAAGTAAAAGTAAAATTGAAATAGATCTTAGATATCCATTAAACTATTAGTAGCATCTCCAATAAACATAATTTTAACATTATCTTGTATATTTAGTTTAGTAAAATTGATTTGGTTAATATTGGATCCACTTTAGCTTTATGTAATTTATATTGATATAAAAGAAAGGAAAAACAATAATTATAGAGCATATTTTACATGATATTGCTTATACACTTTTATTTTATATTTATGGATATTTATTAATAACATGGTATTCAATGTATGCTGAAATATGTTTTTATTTATCTAATTAAGTAAATATATAAATCAATTCTAGGATTAAGATGATAATTATTTTAATAAAGAAAGCAATAATTGGATATGTTAACATTATAAAAAAGTTGTGAAATTGAGATTATTTTTAGTATTACTTGTTCAAACAGCAGTTAGTATATTTACAGGTAAATATTTATATTCATATATTGTATAGGATTAAGATTGGAAATTAAATACCCTCATTTTGCTGTTACTTGTTATTCTTTTCTTCTAATTAACTTTATTATATTTATTTTTGAATTTGCTTTATATGGGATCAAACTATAAAGGTGCATTCGATATTAACTCAATCAATTTTATAATGAAAAAAAAAAGAAAATACTCAATTTAATGAATATGAAGGAAGAATTATAAAAACAATTAGAATAAAAATAAGCTGATGCATAATTTCAATCTAGTTTCTAAATTAAAAAAGTTGAAAATTCTCCATCTTAAAATTCTTCAAGAAGACCAAGCGTAGATTTGCCTTAAGTTCTAGTACCTAATTAAAAAGATAGATTAAGAAAAAAAAATGTTACATTTTGCAAAAATAATTCAAATTTTATGTATTATAGATAAGAGAGTCATCATAATATTAAAGTAAATCAAAACATAAAAGAAGTGATTGCTGAATAAACAGAAAATTCTGAAAGAGAAACTAATATCATATAAAATATCAATGAAAGTTGTTGTTTAGAGGAATCTATTAAATAAATTGATTGGATTTATGATTAATAAGATAAATAAATAATAGAAAATGTTATCTAGAAAAAAAATTAAGTTGTAAGAGATGCAAAAGAAAAAATTTCATGTGATCAGGTAAATATTATTGTACCTTAAAAATAAAATAATAGAAAACAAGTGGATATAAGTAATTTGAGTGATCAAAGTTAAGATTAAACCTAATATACTTAAATTGGATAATAAATAGATGCTTTTGAATAATAGAAATATTTAGAAGAATAATAATTATCTTTAAAATCTAGTAGTTTAGAAGCTGATAAAAAAATTCTATAAAAAATAATGCTTTTAGTATCTTTAGGAATAACATATGAAGTGATATTTGGAATTATGTGTATAATTGCTTTAGTTAGTGAAGCAATTTATTCTACTCCAATTGGAACTATGGTTTATTATTATGTTTCTAGTACACTTTAATTTTTATCATTATTTAATGTATTAAAATTATTTAAAGACTTTCGTTCCTAATAAATTAAGAATTTTATTTGGATTTAAAAAATAGGAAATAAAAAGAGTGATTTGAATTAAAATTATTCATTTATAATACCTTAGGAATACAAACAAGATGATGATATGTTAAGAAAATTTGAAAGTAGAATAAATTTAATAACTTTATATTGATTTTATTTACTAATTTAAAAATATTATGAATAATAATAATCTATATATATAAAGTCAATTTTATTTAAATTTAGTGTCTTTGAAATAGTCAGTTCTAACTAATTTAATTAATTTCTAAATGATATAAATTAATAAAAATACTTCTCTTAATTCTTATTCTGTAATATCATTTCTTTCATATTAATCAAAATAAGATGTTAAAAAATCATCTTATGCAATAATAAATTCTTTTAATTGAATTTTTTCTTTTTCTGTTATAAATTTATTTTTAAACAATTCAGTTGTAAAATAAAGTTATTTAGCTGGTTATCTTTATAATTATTCCATTTTATATTTTTTATATTTTATATAATCATATAATTTTATATATTAACAAATAATTCAAATAATCAATTAAATATAAAAGTAATATTTATTCAATATTCAAACATCTTCTAATAAAATTTCTAAAATTTTTACACTAAATTTTTCGTCATCGACCTCAACTATTTAATATATTAAACAATATGTATCAGATGTATTAATTATTAATTATTATTCTGATATTATTCTTAATTGATATTTAACATTATAAATAATAGAATTAAAATTACCTTAACAATTTTATTAAAATTAATATTAATACAAATCTTAAAGTTTATTACTTAAAAATTAGCTTTTGATTATTTTATTTTAAATACATTTAGCATAAACTTGAATAGTCAAAATTTACTAATTATTATTAACTAAAAGTGTAATGTTACCTTAACTAATTATTTTTTAATCAACTTCTAATAGATTAATCTCCATAGAAATCCTTTCATCTGATTTTAGATCTTTAATTTAAGTAATTTAGATTTATGAAAAAAGCATAGGAGGAGCTTTTATTAAGATTAATGAATACAATGAGTACATAAATTATTGTAAAAGACCCATCCACTTGAACAAACAGTACATTCAGTTTTTAAAGGTCCTAGACATTGATCACAACCCTTAAAACATTTTGCAAGATATATATTAAAAGCTCTTATACCCCAATATGCATTAGTAGTTATAGAATTATGATTAGTTCTCATAGTTATTTTACATTTAGATAATGAATGAGGTAAAGTAATTGCAATATTAATAATATTTTCTAATCCATTAGATCCACAAATATTATATATACCTGTAGATTCTAAAATAGTTTAATTATAAATTTAATCATCTATTTCTAAAATAAACATTTCATTATGCCATGAATCAATTTTCCAAATTTATAATTATACTTACATTTTATAATGAGCATTCAAATTTTCTATTATTTTTTCTAATTTATCATTTGGTGCTAATTTTATTATATCAAAACTGACACATTTATCAATTGTAGGTTACATATTATTATTATTCTTAATCCATCCATCAACTTCTATTGATTCATGCCATAATGATAAAAAACCAATCCAATAATAACAATTATTATAATCATTATCTTAACAGTATAAACAACCTTAAGGACATCTTAAAATTTAAATTGAAAAATCTCTAATTCCCCAACTTTCCTTTTATATGAATTTAATATTACAAGATTTGCTTATTCATTCAGATTTGTAGTCATTATAAAAGTTAATGATTCTGAGTTATGATTAATAACAAATGCAATCCACTGAATCACCATTTCAATTATTTAAAGTTCACATTAATATGCTTCTTTATAATATATATAATCTTATGACCATTTATAATCTTCAGCTATTAAATAGACAGATTCATTATCCCAGCTATCGATTCTAATTTTTATCTAAGAAATACTTCCAAAATTAAAAAGTAATTTTAAGTTGATAATGAGGAGGCAGTTTAAATAACTTAGATACTATTGCATCTTTTCCAAATGCATAATATCCTCCAAACAATGTAACACCATTACATTTAGTGAATAAATTACCCTAATAATTATTGCTTACTATCCAACCTAAATCATTAAAGATGAAAATAACCTTCAGCATCATTAGGGTTATTACCATTAAAGCTAGTGTAAATAGTTTCCCATTATTCTTATGCCATAGCAATATATATTAAGACTAAAATAAATAAATATACTTTCATTATTATTAATTTAATTATTACTTTCTATTACCTTTAATTGAATAATTTAGTAATTAATTTAGAGATTTCAAATAATTTAGATCATTTAGATCCAATTATTTATGCAAATATTTTATAAATGTTATTATTATTAATAAAATTATTAAAATTTGATTATTATCATTTTCCTTGTAGGCAATAGGTTAATATATTATTATTCTTGATCACTTAATATTTATGATTAACTCCTCATATTATTAACCAAGATTTTATAATAGTTCAAATAAAGATTATATTTCAAAGAAGTAATATTATTAAAAAAAAAAAGATTATAAAAATTAAAAGATATGATAATATCTTAAAAAATAAAGCATTATAATTTACAAATCTCTTGTACTATTTATTCAAGGTTTTTAAAGGCTTTTTAGGCCAGGTGCTTTACCAACTAAACATAATCCACACACTAGACATAGTTATGAATAATCATTTTCATATGTACTCCCATCATAAGGACATGTTTTATAAATTGATAGATATTTAAGTGTATTTACAGAGTAGATAGGCTATTCATTAAGCCAATTTTCTTTAAAATCAATTTAAACAGCATTTGTATTTTATTATTATGATGCTTTTTCATACTAATTTTACACATTAATTATTACCTTTTATGCATTTTATAAAACTTCAGGTTTTTATGTTGTATCATTTTTTAACAATTCAATTAACTTTTTAGCTATCTATTAACATGTGATAAAGTTTTTCTGTTTGTAACTTATACTAAGAGCCTACCTTAGTGTTAATATTCTATGGGAAGGCTACAATTCTATAGTTGCCATCTTACAGACCATTTCCAAAGAATTGCTATCTTTTTTTAGAGCATCACATCTCATTGCCATCATATAATTTTTGCTTATGTTAATGTACTTTTATATTTCATCTATTTGATTGTCTTCAAAATCAGTTAATAATAATTTCTATAAAACTTATTAGAAACAATTACTGACTTCACTAAATTTAGCATCAGTTGTATATTTATATCCTATAATAAAAAAAGTAATATACCCTATTTGATTAGGCTTTTAACTTCATTCAATCTATTTAATTTAACTGGTAAAGTTGTATTATTTAAAAAAGGTATTGAGGTCAAAACTTAAAAAGGAGTAATATCTGTTAATAATTTCAATAATTATTAATGATTATTCAAATTGATTTACTGTTTTAACAGTTTTATACCTACTTCGTAATCTCCTGCAGCAAAATATTTCACAGCCACTTCTCCTTTTTATTCTAAAAATAATCCCCTTAATGCTGATTCATCTAAACTCTTATCCATTTCCTGTATTACTTTAGGTTCAAAGAACTCTTCTTCTGGTTCATCTTCTAATCCCCACTAACCATCATTATTAATTTATTCTTCTATTTGTTTTTCTTCTATTACTTATTTTTATATTGTAAATATATCCTAAGGTACAACTGATTCTTCAGTTACTTCAAGATTGATTATATCTTACTCATTCATTTATAATAGAGGCCATGGATCATTTTTATACTTCATTATTGGAATTGGTGGTATTAATGCTTGACTTCCACCAAGTGATTTTATCCACTCAATTGTATCTTATTGATTCTTATCTAATTTTTATATATTTCCATTGAGATGTTCTATAATTTAAGCAAGTTTTGGTAGATTCTATTTAATAGATTTTTATTTCTGAATTTAAGATTAATAAATGTAATTTGGTTATATGTTTTATAATTTCTCTTATTTTTCATTATTACCTGTACATAAATATAAAAAGGCCAATCTGTCAAATTAGTTGAGTTATTAGTCACATACATCAACCAATAAATTATTACCTTATCTAAGAGCTTCTGACCTTAATTATTCAAATAAACTAGTATCCTTGATTTCGATTGCAGCTTTGTATGCTTATTCTAAATTACCAGAATCCAAAGATAATGAGAATTTAGCTATTATATTAAAATTTTGATTACCTTATTTATCTTTGACTAATTTTAAAGCAACAGATGCTAATCTTTTTTAATATAAGTATGAGAGAACAGCCTCATTTTAATTATTTTCAACAAATTTATGTATTGCATTAAGATCTTTATTTAGAATGGCAATTTTGAATAATGGTTCCTGAATATCCAATATTTATGTGATATATTGTGCAGCATTGTCAACTGCTATTAATTTTAATGTATTTTACTATTGTTATTCTCCTTTCACTAGATAGAGAATGTTTTCAGTAGATTTTAATACTCCTGTATCACCATTTAATAATAAATATTTAATTTAACTTTTTGTTGTGTAAATAATAAAATTATTAACCCAAATAAAAGACTTAATATTAATATATTCTTAGATTTCAATTAATTTTTAAAGTTATTTTGTTAGAATAGTTAATTATAATTTCCCTTATACTATTAAATAGGAATCATGATATTGAACATACTTAACATTTGAATATTCAATTTAATTTAACCCTTATTTTGCAAGTGGATCAAATAATTCCAAATGACTATTGTTACCATCTCTATAAATTAATAATTTGCCTCCAGGTGCAGGGAATAGTTTAGAAGCTTCCTTATCATCAATTAAAGAGACTGCTTCTGTTTCATAATTATATAACTCAATTTATGATTCTTAATTAATACGAGCTATTTTATTCTTTCCAATAAAACAAGCTGACTTTGAATTGAATTATTTAATTCCTGAATCACCTTTCTATTGTTAAAATACAATTAATAAATGTCTCTTTAATTTATTTGTATCTTTTTTTAAAGATCGAATACATCTAATCATTAACTATGTTTTTTAAGTATCATATGTATTGTATTCAATAGATTCAATATTATCCTCAAGAATAGTTGGAGTTGGAGTAATGACAGTAGAAATATCTTTAATAATTTATTATTGCCCAGAATTTAATTCAATAACTTTTAGTATTTTTTGTTCAGCCATACATAAATATCTTTCATTAACAAGTAGAACAGGTACTCGATCTTTATGTAATGTAAATACTTGAAGCATAGTATCAGAACCACAAGCAAAATAATAATTATTAGGATGACAAGCTACTATCCAATATCTATCATAATGTTAATTTTCATAAAGTGTAATTTATTTTCTAGTTACAGAATCCCAAATTCTAATAGTATGATCTTCAGAATCTGAGATAATAACATCTCCTTTTGAATGAAATTCAGCACAACAAACATTATTAGTGTGTCCTGTAAGAGAATCAAATTCCCATGCTTTATTTTCATTGTATTTCCATAATTTAATATTTTTATCATCACCACTTGTTATAATTAATGGTTCAGATTTATGAAAAGCACACCAATTTAATTAATCTTTATGTCCATCCATAATTGCTATTACTTATACTTCAGCACCAGAGAGTACATACTCTTGATTCTTCTTTTATGCATATCTTTATTTAAGTACTCCATAATTCCATAATCTTGCTGTTTAATCTAATGAACAAGTCACTATGAAATCTTATGTTGGATGAAAATGACATGACATTATATAATGTGTATGTCCTGTTAGTATAGCAATAGTTTATCTGCTTTAATAGTTCCATACTCTAGCTGTTTGATCATCAGATCCAGATAATACCCAAGGATTAATTGGATGAAATGTAACACATCTTACATAATCTAAATGTCCCTTCAATACAAATTGACATTATTTAAAATTCCACACTCTTACTGTATAATCATCTCCTCCAGAACAAAACAGATTCAATTATGGATGGAATTAAACTGATCGAACAGCACCTTAGTGATCCTCATATGTTGCTATGCGTTTTTTAATACGATAATCAATTAGTTCTATTACACCAGAATGAAGTGCACTCAATACCCAAGGACGATGAGGGTGGAAAGATACACTTTTTACACGATCTGAATGTCTCTCAAATTTGACAAACATATTTATTACACGTATATAATAATTATATAATATTTATTATAAATAATTCAATCAATAATATTCATTTCCCAAAATTAAAATGAAATTCTACCCTAAACCCATATATTATTAATTAGTTAAATATTATAAAATTAGTAATATTTTGTTTAGAAGATAATTCAGATAATCATTCATTAAATAAATTCATTAGATTTCAATTAAAATTTTAATAAAAATATTGGATATAAAATCATATTATTTTACAATATAGACTTTGATTTTTCTAATAATTTCGTTTCTCTTAGGATTATAAGAGTTCTAAATTCTAAAAGATGCTATTTTAATTGAATTTGCAAATTAAAATGATAGGAAATAAAAAGAGCTATATTTGAAATATGGATAAATAATAAAAAAGGATTATGAAGAATAACAATATTATTACATAATCTTTTTTATAATTTAAATATAATCAAGAAATTTCTAAATAACAATAAAGAATAAGAGACCTATGCAATAGGAAAAAAGAATAATAATACTCATTGTAGGCAAAATAATTAAAAAAAGAAGACCCAAAAAATTTAATTTTATTTAAATACATTCAAGGAGTATCTAAATATTAATCCTAAACTGAAATATTATTTAAAAGTTAAGTTTGAAAAGAAAACTACAGGTAAAATACCATTAAACTAAATCATTAATAAATATGATACCTAGATTCATAATTTATTACATGAAGATATTCTTAATAAAGGATTAACTCAAAAAGCATCTGAAGTAAAAGCAATTTATGAAATGATCTTCTATAAACTCTCCAATTCTTGAAAATTCAAATGTATTGTGGAAGATAAATAAATATTAGTTAGTTACTAATAAATTTCAAATTAAGAAAGAATTCAAGGATTTACAAGATAAATAAATATAGACAACTGAAAAACAATAAAATAAATAAGAAAAGAAGATGAAAGTTGAAAAATTTTATATTAAATATATAAATTAATTATAATGGGTCAATCACAAGCATAACCGATGAAAGCATTATTTAATGTAGGAAGTGATAATGTATTCTATTAAAGCATATTAAATAATAGGAATTTTAAGT